CCATGAGTGCTGATGGGCAAGGTCACTTCCCTCAGTGTTCTCATGTTCCCAGCATTGCCCTCTGGTAGGAGCACAAAAAGTTTTAAGGTCTGAGAATTACTTGTCCAAATGTATGTCTTGAAAATTATTCTTCTTTCCTTTAGGTATTGAGCTGGATGAAGATGGGTCCCTGGATGGAAACAGTGATTTGACAATCAGAGGACGTCTGCTGTCCCTGGTGGAGAAGGTGACATACTTAAAGAAGAAACAAGCAGAGAAGCCAATTGAGAGTGACTTGAGGAAGTCCTGTGAGTAGGCTTAGAGGCATTTGGCAAAATGACTCAACCACCAACACTTACTCATCCTCTGAATGAGCACTGTACTACTGGATAAGCCAGGGAGGTAACTGAGTTTGAAACTTCCAAGACTCAGATCCTTAATAGGTGCCTGTAGCTACCAGGTGTAAACTGCGTTATGCAGCCGGATTCATAGCACCAGGCTGAGAGGCAGCAGCATGAAAAGACCACGCTAGATGGTCTTTCTAGAGAACTCAGAATTTGGGCATTTAATCAGATACAATCAAGAGCAAGTATAATGGGAATACTTTAGCCTTCATATTAAAATACAATGCAACAGAAATAAAAAAATAGATAAATTAAAATAAAATACTATGCGGTTGATGTTCAAATATTATGGCATCAAATTTAAACTTTCTTTTAAAGTCAAAATAATCTATAGCTATACCTTGGTTCTGAAGTATTTTCTAAAGTATTATGCATTAGTAATTTATCCATACCCTGTTTAACCAAGAATAAAAGCTGCTGCTCCTGGAAACAAAGTAAGCACCCTTGGCAGTGAATCACTTGAGCAAGGCACGTGGTGAAAGTCTGCAAGACCTGGCCTACTTATTCCTCATTTCCGAGACTCAAGACTATTGATTTTTAAGATGCATTGCTGGTTTATTAATAGCATTTTCTGAAAATAAATAAATAAATGCAGCACCTGTGGCTCAAAGGAGTAGGGTGCTGGCCTTATACTGGAGGTGGTGGGTTCAAACCCAGCCCTGCCCCCCCCCCCGAAAATCTAAAATTTGGGTGACACCTGTGGCTCAAAGGAGTAGGGCACTGGCTCCATATGATGGAGGTGGCGGGTTCAAACCCAGCCCTGGCCAAAAACAGCAAAAGTAATAATAATAATAAATATAAATAAATAAACTCACTAAAATATTTGCAACTTTAAGAAGAAACTAACTTACAGTGTAAAACCTTTATCCATGAAATAACTTCTAAATTTATTCTTCAGTTGTCACAATCAGATTGAGTCAGGTTATCCTCAAAATCAGAGTTCACAGTTTCTTATGAATCCCCTTTATTATGAAGGTTTTGATCTTGACCTACTAAAATGATAGCGTAGTTTTGAGATACATATGGACATAAATTGGCATGCTATTTGCATTTTGTATTTAGTTACAATTGGTAGCTTTTGTTTTTCCTGAAATAATTTCTAGCTGGAAGTCAAATTGCTTCTTTTGAAAATGAGCCACAGTGTTAATGATAGGAATTATGTGCCTTGCTATGGATGAATTGGTCACAACAATCTCACTTAGTTTTGGCATTTTTCCTGTTTATTTTAAGAGCTGTAGAAGTTTCTGTTGCTTTTGAGTATGCTCCATTGCATGTCACATTGCAAGACTGTGTATGAAATAACTTTTCACTTTAATTCAACTTCACGATCAAATTCCTTTGGAGACATTGTAAGTGACAAATAGGGGCTCAAATTTAAGTAAATATATAATTACACGGTTCTTGTTACAAATGACTCAACTGAGGACAAACAGTTGGATAAATAGACATCTCCTTAAATATCCATGACTGACCATTATAAGGAAATAAGATGTCAGACCATCTAGGAGGCATATTATGTAACAAAAGTAAGAGTAATCAACACATCCTGTTAACTTCCATTCTTTCAGTTACTTCCAGGTTGCAACAATAATTTTGAACAAGTCGTACAACTTTGAAAAAGCTTAATTAATTATAAGGATATTTCTAAAGAAATCTTTATATATTTTTATCTTTGCATGACCATAACTGATCTTTATGGAAATGTATGTACATGCTGTTTCAATGAAGTTTATTTTCCTCAGAGAATATTCCTAGTCTTTTCAGTTCTGATATAAATAGAGATACCGGTTTGGGGTGGGCTATAGAGCTGAAATGTCTAACTGATTTGTCTTTTCTTATTTTCCTTTAAAAAAAAATCCATAATGACTTTGCAGCCACACTTCAGCAGTTGATTTCTGAGACCATGGTACGATGGGCTCAGGAGTCTGTCATTGAGGACCCTGAGTTGGTGAGGGCCATGTTTGCCTTGCTCCATCGGCAGTACGACGGCATCGGGGGTCTGGTCCGGGCTCTGCCCAAGACCTACACCATCAATGGCGTCTCTGTGGAGGACACGATCAAGCTGCTGGCGTCTCTCGGGCAGATCCGCTCTCTGCTGAGTGTGAGGATGGGCAAAGAAGAGGAGCAGCTGATGATTCATGGATTAGGGTACATTATTTAAATGTTACAACCCTTTGTCTCTTAGATCTTTTCTTTCTAGTCTGTGATCCCAGTAGTAAGTACAGCAGGGACATTAATGTAAATATACTGTCTGGATCACATGAACGATAGATTACTGCTTTTCTGGAGATTATCTTTAAATAAGAAAGTTGATCAGTAACAAAATAATGACTAGGTTTACAGCTAGATGCTAAGGTGGCCTGACACAGGCAATATTTTAGACTGTCTTTTTTAAATCCTTTAGTAATACACAGTCATATAGAAAAACAGAGGATAACAAAATTGCATTAAAACCTGTGGTGGGTTGTGGGAAATACTAAGGAAGCTTGTCTTTATCTTTTGGGACTTGGAAAAAGCAGGGAGAAAGGGGCGGTGCCTGTGGCTCAAAGGAGTAGGGTGCCGACCCCATATGCCAGAGGTGGCAGGTTCAAACCCAGCCCCGGCCAAAACTGCAAAAAATAAAAAATAAAATAAAATTTTAAAAAATGTAGAAATCTGGCATATAGAGTATTAAAAGTGATTAAAGACAAATTCTCATCCAAACAAGCTAATATACTTACATAAATATTAAGCAAAACAGGAGGTAATAAAGAGAACTGTCTCATGAAGAAAATAAAACACAAACAATAAAATTGGTCAAATAAACCTAGGGTTGGTTCTTTGAAAAAAAAAAAAAACTCACAAAACACCAAGTTTTTTCTTTGGCAGAACTCACAAATAATGAGGGAAGAAAGCAAATGGATACTGATCCAAATTGTCTGATATCATTGCTGTACATTTTAAATTCAGAAAACAATATTTTCTATTGCTTGTGGTCCTGTTAGATATTTAAAATTATAAAAGTGGATGGGAAGGTCATATTCCAAATTGATGGTAATCCCAATGAAAATTAGAGTACTAAGGGGATAAAGAGGGGAAGCAGAAAAGCCGACACAGAAAAGTGAATGTTACGGTCTGTACGTATGATCGTATGGGCGAGGGTCGTGTTTGAGAACTAATATTTGAATCTGACCTGAGGAGGCCTTGATACAAAGTGTACTTCCTTAACCAAATGAACAGAGCGCCTTCCAGGAAATGGAGATCGCTTTCTTTTCTTCTTTTTATTAAATGTTAGCTGTGTACATTAATGCAATCACAAGGTACAGTGTGGTGTTTTCATATATAGTTTGAAATATTTTCATCAAACTGGTTAACATAGCCTTTGTGTCATTTTCTTAGTTATTGTGTTAAGACGATTATATTCTACTCTTAGAAAGATTCACTTGTACCCTTGTAAGATGAACCATAGAGGTGACCCCTCCATCCCTCCCCTCTCCCCATATTCTTAGGCTATAATTAGGTTATAGCTTTCATACGAAAGCTATAAATTGCCTCATAATAGGGCTGTGTACATTGGAGATTGCTTTCTTAAATGAACACACAACAGTAACGTGCTATTAAAAAGTAAATCATTCACTC